GTGAAGGCAAGAGGAGAAGGGGACGACAGAGGATGAGATGGTTGGACAATGTCATCGAAGCTACCAGAATGAATTTGACACAACTCCGGGAGGCAGTGGAAGATAGGAGGGCCTGGCATGCTCTGCTCCATGGGGTCACAAAGAGTCGGACACGATGAAGCGACTAAATGACGAAGCATGTACTCTTTGTTTCCTTGTTTCTTGTGGAAGAGATACTTTCTTTGAATTCTCAGATGAATAACAACACATGACATACTACACTATGTCATGATTTATTTTACAAAAATGAAGTCAAAATGGAGAAGTATGTGTGAAAAACTAAGTATACCCTTACTGCTTCCATAGGAATTAAGAGACTAAGAAGAAGCCACCTGCTGCTAACCAAATGCCCATGAGTAATTGATCATCAGCAAGTGTGACCAGGTTTTACCAGTCTGCTGGTCTGGAGTGGTCAGGTGTGTGTTAACACAATGCCAAGGTGGAAACACAATGATTGCAGTGAAGCAATTGTTGCTGCCCATCCATCTGGGAAGGTCTTTAAGGCCATTTCCAAACCATTTAAAATCCATCATTCTACAGCAGTGGTCCCCAACCTTTCTCTGACCGGGGACCGGTTGGGGGGTGATCCGTGTCCGCGGCCCAGTTCCGGCAGTCCCATGGACCGGCACTAGGCTGCGGACCGGGGGTTGATGATCCCTGTTCTACAGTGAGGAAGATTATTCACAAATGGAAAACATTTGAGGCAGTTGCCAATCTTTCCTGGAGTGGACGTCCATGCAAATTCACTCCAAGTTCAGACCATGCAATGCTCAGAGAAACTGCAAAAAACCTGAGTTACATCTCAGGCTCTATAGGCCTCAGTTAGCATGTGAAATGTTAAAGTTCTTGACAATACAATTAACAAAGGTCTGAACAAGTACAATTTGTTTGGAAGGGTTGCCAGGAGAAAACCTCTTCTCTCTAAAAATAACAGCATGGCTTAGGTTTGCAAAGTTGTATCTCAATAAACCATAAGACTTTTGGAACAACATCCTTTGAACTGATGAGACCAAAGTGTTGAGGTCTGGCAATAATGCACAGTACCAAGTTAGGCAAAGACCAAACACAGCATATCAGCACAAACACTTCATATCAACCAATGATCAAGCATGGTGGTGGAGGAGTGATGATTTGGGCTTGTTTTGCAGCTACAAGAGCAGGGCACCTTGCACTCATTGAGCCAACCACGAACTCCTCTGTAAACCAAATTATTCTAAAGTCAAATGTGAGATGATCTGTCCAACAGCTAAAGCTTGAACAGAATGGTGTCATGCAACAGGACAATGGTCCAAGGCACAGAAGCAAATATACAACAGAATGGGTGACAAAGAAAAGAAGTAAGGTGTTGCAATGGTCCAGTCAAAGTCAAGACCTCAACCCGACTGCAATTTTGAGGTGGTACCTTAGGAGAGCTGTGCATAAATAAATGCCTGCAAATCTCAATGAATTGAAGCAATGTTATAAAGAAGAGTGGGTCAAAATTCCCCCACAATGATGTAAAAGACTGATAAAGTTGTACAAAAAACAATTATTTCAAGATATTACTGCTGAAGATGGCTCTACAAGTTACTGAGTCATAAGGTGCACTTAGTTTTTCACACACGGCTTCTCCATTTTGGCTTAATTTTCGTTAAATAAATAATGGTACGGTGCAATATATCATGTGTTGTGTTGTTCACCTGAGGAGATTTTTGCCTAATTTTCAGACTTCCTAAGGACCAGATGATTTTTATTATGTCCTGATACGTAAAACCATAGAATTCAAAGACTGTGTCATTTCTTTATCCCATGGCTGTATGTCTAATGATCATTCAAAGCAGAGTTCTATATTGCACTGCTCTTTGACAATGATTCTGACCAACCATTTACTAAACAAAACTGAAATACATTCCAATTTCATTCCCTTGCTGTTAAAATGTGCACTGCTAGTAAAATAAGTGCTCATTTCAGACAAGCATTTCCCGGAATGCACGATGGTACTGAATAATAAAGATGTTGTTGCCCTGGGTCATATATCACAAGTAGAAACCTACTGTCTACTTACAAAAAGCCATAAGGCCTCATCACTTACCTCTTACTACCCAATATGTGATGCCTATTAAAACTAATCGCCTGTTTCTATCTTCGACATTGCAGCTGCTTTTTTCATAGCGTATATTGTTTTACCCCTCCCACTATTTTATCCTCAGAACTACTCTGTGAAGCAGGCTAGGCTAAAGGAGAGAGATATCCACTGGCCCAAGTCCACTCAGTGAACTTAATGTCCCAGGGGGGATCTGAATTGGCAATGCATTGCCCTTGTCCAGTGGTTCCCAGCCTTGGGTGACCGAGGTGTTCTTGCACTGCAACTCCCAGAAACCATGGCCAGCACAGCTGTTGTTGAAGGCGTCCAGGAATTGCAGTCCAAGAACACCTGGATTACCCAAGGCTGGGAACCTCTGCCCTAGTCCAACCTCCTGACTACTACATGGCAAAGATTCTGACACTGAACAATGTTCATATGCTTTCTTTTAAAAATCTTAGAACTAATACCACACACAACCAGAACACACTGTGAAGCCAATAATCGTGTTTTAGATTCCCGAACATTTGCTGTTCAAGTTATGCATTTTGTCTTTAAAATGTGGACCTCTGGACACTAAATACAAACACTCCAGCCTTAAATATCAAACTTCTGCTGCCACCCAACTATAGAATAACTGAAAGTAATCTCAGATTTAGGTTTTACAAAGTTAGATAAAAATCTTAAAATGTCACTTGTAGTATTATGTAACGTCAAGAAAGTAATGATGGGGACACTGTGTTGCAGTGGTTCCAATCCCTTCTTTCACCAGAGATTCAAGGTGGGGTTACAGGAATATTCTTTGACATTGAGATATCCCTCAGGGCTCTACCCTATTCCTTGTATTATTTAACATCTAGGTGAAACCACTGGGAGACGTCATTCAAACCTTGGAGTGACACCAGAAAATGCAGGATACAGACAGACAGCCTCTATTAGCATTTTGTGCCTTACAACTGTTTCTGTACAAAACAAAGATGACAAACCTTGCTATCAATTTCACTGCTTCCTAAAGCAGACTGAATCACATAGAGCAATGCATCAGTAAGTCCGTCACACTCTCTCATTCTTCTGCGGGCTTCTTCTCCAGCAGAGCTGACATTCCTACAAAAACAACAACAGTGATCACTATCTTTTCAGTTTCACTCTTTATTTCTGGCAAAGACTTAATAGTTTTTTTTTAAAAAGAAGGGTTCACTGGCTGTGATCTGAATCTCTTCTAGTAAGTTATTTTAAGAGAACAAAGTAAGAGAAAACCATGACTCCAGAGAATCTTTAAAAAAAGGCTAACACACAAGATGATTTAGAGAAGATAACATAATCTTTCATACAGACAATTCTACCGTTCTTATGTCAATCTTGGCTACATCAACATTCATAAATTGTGAGTCATTTTGCACCCTTGCATCTTTTCTTCATCCTTACAAGGTGGCTGTATCTTCTCAGTAACAGCTGGAACAACTGTCCACCTGAGAGTGGTTTAGTTTGAAAAAAATCCAGGACATAATCTCATTTTCATGAAATAAATTAACAAATTATTCTTGCTTGTTGCTACATACTGACATTGCTTTACATTAAACTATCATTATAATAATAGGGATGAGACTTTAGGGGAAAAAACAACTCTCCATCCCACAGTTCAACTGGAAACCCCCAGTCTGAACCACAGGACTGGGAGTCATCAAAACAACAGGAGGTAGAAAAACTCTCTTATCATCCATGGTGTTCCCACACTGCTTCTTTGCACTCTATGAAAAGCATGCCAGGCACCTTTGCAAGTCATGAGGGTTCCACTCCATTCACCAAATTGCACTGGAGAATGAGTTCCAATGGAGACTGCGTTTCTAAAGAGTATACAGAGGCTACCTCCATTGGAAATCATTTTCCCATGCACCATTGAGAGTCAGAGGGAATGGCTCTCAAGGACCACTTTTCAGAGAAGCAAAGAAATGAAGAAGCAATGTAGGAAAGACATGGAAGTAAGAGGGCTGCTGTATTTTTTGCCATTTTAATAGCTCCCAGTACCATAATTTGGTTTAGGGGATTCCCACCAAATTGTGGGGCTAGAAGTTCTATTCCCCCCTCCAAAAATCCCATGCCTAATTAATACAAATTAATCTAGAAATTACTGGCCCAAATTGTCTTACCTAGTTATGCTGTCAAAGCATAAACAGCATGACTTTTAGAGGCAGATTGGTGTAAGTTAAAAAAATCACCAGAGACATTATTCATTGCATACTGAGTTGTATGACTCGGGGTGCAACTCATAGTGTCTATGGAGATTGCTTAACTTGAGCAATTTACCTCCAAATGTTCACTGCATACTGAGTTGTATGACTGACTCAGGGTGCAACTCATAGTGTCTATGGAGATTTCTTAACTTGAGCAATTTACCTCCAAATGTTACACTATTTGCATAACTATGTAAGAAGATTTTGGCCCTATATTTTACATTCTGTGAGTATCTAGGGAAAGACGTACGGTGCACACAAAACTGGCATTAAATGGCAGATAAATATTTATATTACATACAAATGGCAATAATATCCAATCAAGATTCCCAAATCTACTACCTCCACCCCACCCCCAACATCATAAATGTTAAGTAGAGCACAATGCTAAGCATCTAAAGATAACACTGGCCAGTTTCTCAGGTCTACCCTGTTTTCTCCAAGAGCAAGATGTCTGCCTAAAAATAATGCTGTACAGACTAAATTGATTGTTTCTCCTGAAATTTACAATAACAATAGTTATTGTATATCTTTAAAATTCACAGGTACTGACTCCCCTGAATACACCAAATAAATACACTATAAAATTACAGGAATTACTGTGACTTTGAACATGGTTCTATATTCCAGATCCTTCAGTCAAATGGCCCATAAAATTAGTCAGCAATTCTTTTCATTTTGGAAACATTAGTATAATTGTCCTGTCGATCCAAGGGCCTAGCAGGTGGATTTTTAATAATATAAATAATAGTAAAAACCTTTGAACTGCAGAGCTGGCAGGGGCCCTAAGGATCATCAAGTCCAGCCCCTTTCAAGGAGACACAGTGGAGAAGCAGTTTGTCACAACAATTTCTTACTGGGACCTTTGAAACAACAACCAGGTTGCCTAGTGACAAACCAGGCACAACAAACCAATAAGCACTATAAACAAGGGACAGTACAAACTTTTGTGACAATGCCAAGTAATGGGATAATCCTACAGTCATTAAAAATGAGTGTTAAGTGTCATAAAATGCAATGCCACTCTCAATGGGTATCATCAAAATGCAGTGTCACTTTGCAATAAAGCAGAAACACTTAAAAATTGGGGGGGGGGAGACACTTACAAAGAAAACAGAAGAAATACCGGGAAGTAAAGGGAAAATACAATATTATTGGGGAGCTAAGCATGTGCAACACTGAGTTTTAAGATATTTCAAATTGGAGAAGAACAACAGCATAATATATTAATAGTGGGATTAAATCAAAATCAGACACATTTAAATTGATTTTGACTGAAAAATTAAAACAGATGCTTAATCCGCTTCCATTAAAATAAATCAGGTTTAAAAGGCTTTTTAGGATTAGGCCCACGAATATTCGAAATAGTGTTGTGTCTCTTTTGCAGAAAAGTATTTGAGGGGTAAAAAAAAAAAAAAGAGGTTCCAGTGGGTTTCAAATATTTAGAAGGGGAAAAGGTGACCAGCCAAAGAAAAGGCATAACATACTCAGGCACAAAGTAGTTCTCTGCAAACAAGTCACTTTATTCTTTTAAAGAATGCAACAAGCTATAACAAGATCTAGACAGCTTAGTGAGTTAGGCATCTGGCTGAGGAGCCAAAGACTGGAAGTTCAGTTCCCCACTGTGTAACCCAAGAGCCAGCCTGTGTAGCCTTAGGCAAGTTCCACAGTCTGAGCACATCCCCAGAAGGAGGAAATGGCAACTACTTCTGAGTACTCCCTACCTAGAAAACTCTGAAAAGGATCACCATAAATCTGAATTGACTTGATGGAACATAATTATTATTACAAGGCACTGACTATACAGTACAAGTTTTTGCAATGTAAGAATATATCAAATATTTTGGTACACCTTTCTACATCCATATTCTTTTTCATGTTATTTGACTATTCTGTAAACACAATAAAGTTAAGCAGGTATGTTCTGATCAAATTCTGAAGTGCCTTAATGCAAATTAGATTCTCTGCAAAACATTCTGTAATACTATAATTCAACCATTTTCATTATCTTTTTCTGCAGTAACACTTTTTCTCAGAATGTGCTAGAGCTTATTAGTTAATACTGAGATTTTCAATACACACTGGAATGATCTTTACAGAAGACAAGTAACTTATCTTGGTTTATGTAAAATGTAAGTAATTTTTATGAATTGAAAGGTGGGTAAACCAATGTTGCTGCAGAATCAGAAAGCCCTTATTAAAGCATTCCATTAAATAAAGGCTCTGCACATTTTATAGTTCTCCACACCACAAGACACACCTTCATGGATTGCTGCCTTGTTGTGACGAAGGGGCTTGAATAAGTCAGAGAAGCTATGGGCTACGCCGTGCAGGGACACCCAAGACGGAGAGGTCATAGTGGAGAGTTCTGATTAAACGTGATCCACCTGGAGCAGGAATTGGCAAGCCACTCCAGTATCTTTGCCAAGAAAACCCCATGAACAGAAACAAAAGGCTAAAAGATATGATGCTGGAAGATGGGCCCCTCAGGTCAGGAGGCGTCCAACATGCTACTGAGGAAGAGTGGAGGACAAGTACAAGTAGCTCCAAAACTAATGAAGTGGTTGGGCCAAAGCCAAAAGGACGCTCAGCTGTGGATGTGCAAGGAAGTGAAAGGAAAGTCTGAGGCTGTAAAGAAAAATACTTAATAGGAACCTGGAATGTAAGATCTATG